GCAGGGTGAGTGCGCTAGGTGCACTATGTTCTAGCCCATTATGGATACAAAGGTCATTCACACTTCACTAATAACCTGTCACACGACACAATAAATGGCACCGCAGTCCACTTCTTATAACATACATGCTTTATACTTCTTGCAATTAACTGGTAACTGAACTTTACACAAATGGTTATTAGTTATACTTCATATACCAAGAACGCAATTTGGTAGCGCTTCCTCCAACGTACAAAACAGGAAGGGAGATTCTTTAAGTTAAACCTGAACTAACTGAATATATATTATATTATTATTCTAAATAAATTTAACACTAGTAATCAATGTTACCAAAAAATAAATTATTAAGTAGTAATAATTGTCCTAATTAAGACATCCTCTCTACCGTTGCATCCCATTGAAAAAAACATTTGTCTGGAACCGTAACGCGCTCTTTGGGGTATCGTTATGAACGCGAGCTCTTAGCTGTAAGAGTAATATTCCTAACAAGAGTGCTCGCAGTTACATGCATCTCTTTGCCCTGCTTTTTCCAAAATATCAATACCGTAAAATTAGCGGGCAGTGCTGCTAGAGTAAAACTCAAGAACGTTTCCCACAACACAAACATGTTTTTTGAATTAAAAGAACTCTCCATAACAGTTTTACTTTTGACCCTCATGTAACACTGAGGCTAAATCCGTATCATTGTAAGCAATCTCTACGTTACACATAATAAATGGACAGCTACATATTCCCGACTTACAAGTCGCACTATAGCCCTCGATACATCAACGTTTCCTTCGTCCCGGTGACAGTCACAGCGAATGCTTGTCCCTGTGTGTTTTCTGAGCTTTGATTTCCCCGTTTTCGCATTCCCCTGATTTTCTACAAATAGAGCATCGTGATAATAAAACGATGTATTTGGGGCCCCTACTTTTAAAATACGTACGGACGCATAGTTCCAATAGATTTTTTCGGAGCCCTCCCCCTCGCGGGGGGGGGGGCTTTATCGCAGGAGTGGGGCGTTTTCCGCTCCGAATGCGGGCGGAGGGCGACCCGGTAAACACGCGGGCCATCCCCGCAATTCACGCCCGCCGGCGCTCATCCGCCGCATAAACAGCGCTCTTCCGGAGAATGTTTATTCGGAGCGGAATCGCGCCCACGCAATCGATTTAATCGAATTAGGCGTTAGTTAGAGTCCAAACACGTTCGCCCGCTCGCGCCCATCGGCCCAGGCGCCCCGCCCCGCCCCGCGATGGACGGCGGCGGGGCTGGATTCTGCTTGCTTAGCGGAATGCTCCAATGGGCTGCGAAGCCGCTCAAGCCACGAGGGCGCGATTTCCATTACAGTAATTCCAACATTAGCGCACGAACTGGCGTTGAAGTTTCGAAACTAAACCGAAGTTACACCATAATATATTACGAATGTATACAAATCCCTGTGGATAAATATAACAGATGGGTACGTTAACTCAACATGTATAAAAGTTGTGAGTCCGGGAGGACCTAGTTTCGAGTGGCAACGTTGGCGGATTTCAGCTGAAAATTAGTCCGACGATGACACTTCCCGGACGAGAGTTCAAGATACCGTCTCTGTTCGGTCGTTTCCGTGGCCTTCGATCAAATCAAGGTGTGTGTACCCGAGAAGTAGCTTAATATGTCTGCAGATTGGTCGTCCTTGGGCGATGGAGTGATGATCATCCACTCCCACGACCTCGAATGTTTACGCCCTCCCGTATGCTCCGAGCCAGCGCGGCCGAACACTGACAAACATTTGAAGCGAAAAGGAAACTGGAGAACATCCATAATAAACACTTAAAGGAGCAACTCGAGACCGACTCATCTGTTCAGAGCGAAACACGAGGGACGTGGGGGTTGTCCGTTGTTTTCATGACTACACGCGTAGTACATCGCTGAAAATCTCGCACTAACTGTGCTACTACCAGATGAGATCACTTGCGTGACGGGTGTACGGGTCAATGAAACAGGTTTGGGAATGATAAGGGTATCCGGCAGTCTCGATAAATCTGATATAAAAATAATCGACCTTCCTTTCCAGATATCTACCAAAGAGGCGCATTCTAAACGGCGGAATCAAAATTCATGGCCCCCTGCCCGCTCTTTCCGCAGAGGGGCTGACCTTGGATCACGAACGAAACCGCACACACTAGCGGGCATCGTTAATCCGAGGAAACGGACAGGGAATCTGGCACAAAGATACCACACCGCCAAAGGTGACTCAGGGCACCAAATGATCCCACTGCAGGGCGTCTGACCGGGAGGCCCTACGCTTCGAGTGCCGACTAGTGGCAGCTACACAGCGAGGACGAGTTCAGCCGTCGACTGGAGAACTCTACAGGCCGACTGCTCTGATCGGTAATTGTCCGTGTTTTTTTCGATCTACACCACGCCCATAGCAGAGCAGTTCTCTAGCAAACGGGTCATGGACCGCCCGTGATATTTCCTTTTTCCTTCTTCTATCCTCGCCCCTTACTTGAACACACACTTACACGCACTACCACAATCACACATCGTCGGCACACCAGTTGGGGACTTAGGAGAAAGCCCCGCAACTGCGCCGCATCTCGCCAGCCAACAGGGACGATCACAGTCACCTTCCGCAGTAAAACATGCACTGCCCTTAATGACCTTCGCAGTTGACGCGCCCGGAATCACTAACGAATCGATCGCCTGAAACAGCATTCACAACGGACGCTTCTAAGAAAGGTCGGCAGCGCAACGCACGTCTTACACCAGACTACTACGACGACATTCGTAGTGGAGTTGATTAATGATTTATGGTTCGCCACGGCGGAAATGTGTTACGCACTCATTCTTCGAGAATTCCATTCTGTTCTTGTTTTCCATTCAAATCAACTTCCGACAAAATCAGGGTAAACATCGACGACGGTGAGAGTACTTTAACGGTGAAGCTCATACGAACTGTTCTTCTCACATTCAAACACTCCTAAAACTTGTATTTCAATTTGCAAACAGTGCCTAAGATGTCACCCAGAGATAATTTCGAAGTTTGAGGACCAACATTCAACGACGAAAAACTCATTTGTTTAATTACAACGATAAGAGATATCGAGTTGCTTTCCTTGAGCACTTCCTATGTGCAGCTCCGACATTGAAAAGTATGTGAAGTAAAACATTTTAAAATTGAAATAAATTTATACCCAAATGGAATAATAGCGGGGCTTTCCGACTAAACGATACAGCCTTGTTACCGAGCAAGCTGACGTGGTTGTAGTTTACAGTTACATAATTCTGAATGATCTGTGTCCATGGTGAGAATTCAGAGCGCCCAAATTTCAATAGACCCTGAGATAACATTCTGAACAAATTTTGAAATCGGTGGAGCAATTATACTACACTAATTCAATTATTCAGTCTCGAATGTGCAATGCTAAGCAACACAAAAATAGTTATAGAGCTTTAAAAAGTTTTTTTTTCTTTTTTCGAAAAATACTCCTATTTTAGAGCAGGAGTGTCGTGTCCGCCAGTAAATTACCCAAAACGAAGCGTCTCGACTCGCCACAAACACACGGCCGAATAGGGAAGGTCGTAGCACCTACCGTTCGCTGTTGCGCAGCTTACCCGTTTAAGAGAAGGGAGAGGGGGCGGGGGCTCTGTTCCCCACGCCGCCCCGCAATCGGCGTCAAACAATGCACAACAGATTGGTCTCAAGGCGAAGAAATTGCTTTGTTTGCGCCTTCCCGAGCGGCTGGGATGGCGTAACCGGCGATCAATGACCGTTGAATATTGATAGGGAGGCAACGGCGGCGGGGGCGACGACCACGCACGCAGCGGACTCGCTCGGGGCGAATTTGAGAGACTAGGCACCGGAAGAGGCCGTAGACGCGAAGCGCGGCTGGGAGAAGCAAAGCAGTGGAGGAAAGGCAAACTAAGAAACATTGCAGCGTAAAAAAATGCGAGAGTATCACTAAGAAAGAAAGTTATCTCTAGTGCATTGGGTAGTCGGTTCGTATTGTGAAGTGAAGGAAGGCATGTGCGATTAAATTATGTACTGTTTTTTAATTAACTACTCTCTTGTAATTTGTTAGTCCATGTAAGCTTAATGCATGTAAAGTTGAGATATTCTGCCACCAAGTTGCGATACTTAATTGCAGAATTAATAATAAATGCAATAAATCCATATCTGAAAATTCAATGAATCGAAGCATGCCATACAAATGAAAATACATTTTCATTGATAATCAATGAGCAATGAAAGACAGAGTTCCTGTATATGTTTATAGGTATTACAAAATATGTATTTCTTACAACCTTGTGATTTGAAATCAGTAATATATTCAATGTAGATGCAGTTGCACAACAAACGTGACTTCTTGTTATTAAAGAGTTTGCGTAAATGTAATTGGCCCGAACTTTACAAGGTATCAGACATGTATTATTTATTACATACATATTATATGTTCTACATTTTCTAATCAAATTGTAGGCCATTCAGTAAACAACGGGTGTCTCAGAATTCAACTACTAACCGTGAACAAAACTAACATACACAAGAGTATTTCGCATATTTATTACGCCAAAGCTGAAAGTTACCGCAAGGCCCCGCGATAGCACAAAAGGGAATACAGACCTCCTCCGACTCATTTGAAGAGGCCCGAGAGAGCTAGCCTGTCCGGCCGGGCTCGAATAAAATGCAGGCAGCCACTTCATCCATAGCAAAGTCCTCCTCGCCGCGGCTTGTCGCTCGTGGCTTTTTGAACGAACAAAAATCAGCGAAGTAACATTTTGGACGCCCCTCAGGCAAAGGCCGGTCGTGATGTGCATGTAGGATATGCGAATTTGGCCGCCCAGCTGGGAGCGGGCGGCGGCGGGCGGGGGCAGGCTAAACGTACACAAATTGCTGCCAGTGCACGCAACCCAGCCTGACGCCACTGCCGCGCCGCTTGAGAAAGGCGTTCCCAGAGGTCACTCCCCCGACCCCCCCACCACCACCACAACGGACGGCAGGTCTTAGTGCAGAGCAATTAAACAGGAAATACCTTGACTAGATGGTCTGCTGCTGCCGTGGGCGAAGGCGTCAATCATAGGACTACAAACGCGACTTTGTTACAGTGAAAGGGCGTAAAGGAAGGGGAAGAAAGTATTACGCCCCATATTAGAAATGTTTTTATTCTTTGACGCGAATATTACATTCCATATCCTAACTTACCCGTCAGTCCATTACATCAATATTTCAGATTCATTTATAATAAGCTACCATAATTCCCTCCAACACAACTAATACGAATTCACGAAAATTGTGCGTCAATGACAATACATAAATGGAATGCCCAATACTTCCGGTTTTGTGGTTCTACCAATTTGTTAATGCGACATCCATTTGAAAAAAAATTCAAATTCAATATTGCAGATATCGGATGGGATTTTCCCTCCTTTTGTCGGTTCAATGCTTTTCAGACAGCCTATCACACGATTGTCAAATGTGAAACGTCAACTGCGATTCTCTTACCAGAGCACTGCAAGCTCACATCACCGCAAGCGCCGTTACTTCAGTCTCCAGTAGATCGGTGCGAGGAACAACAGAAAGAACTAAAGGCAACTATAAGTCATTAGCTCTTCCGTCTCTTTCACTTATATTTCAATGTGTATTCTGTAGGGTAGTGTTTATCTGGAGGAGTGACTGAACACGTCAAAATTGGAGTGTTCTGCTGACCCGAACCCGCCGCGTCGGAGGAAATTTGCGAAAATTCGGCCATCTTTACTGTAACATTTTTCATAACGGAAATGCACACGATTACTCGGCATCAAACCAAGTGGCGAGCATCATGGGGCGTCGTGCAGACTGCCAAGATCAATGCGTCGAAATTTTATTATAGAAATACGCTGTGCAAAGCCTCCTTTCGTTACGGACACTATACTCGTAGAACCACGAGTAGCTCCAACATCACTTTCCTCTTCCCAAAGACCCTTCGTTCCGTCGATTCTTCCGTACGTTTTCTGATCTTCTGCCTGCCTGTCTCTGTCTCGCTCCCTTCCCCCTTCTCACCCCAATCTTCCTTTCTCCGGCATTTCAGCTTTACCTCCCTCGCTGATGCTCCTCTATTCACACCCGATCCTCTGTCGTTGCACCCCTCCACCCCGATTCCCCACTCATTAGTCCACCTCCTCGCGAATCCAGCCCCCCCGGGAGCGGGCCCCGCTCGCCCCGCCCGCCCGCCCCGCCTCGCCCCGCTCCGCCCCGCCCCGCCCGCCCGCTCCGCTCCGCCCCGCTCCGCTCCGGCTGAGCGCGCCTCGCCGCGACCGCACCACGCGAGGCGGAGCCGTCAGCCGGTTGGCTTCGTCGGGCATTTCCGCTCCTTTCAGCTGCGCCTGGCCACTTGCACACGCGCTGCCAAGCCAGCGATCCTGGAGGAAAGCTACCTTTGTTAAGAACAGAACAACACAGCCAACCATATACGTTGCCCGTAAAAATTCGTTATAATAAAAACGTCATCTTCCAAGATTAATGACAATGCTTATAGTTTTTACCGGTTGACTCATCGCTATCATCGTTACCTGCATGCGAAACAAACTTGAATAGAACTTTGAATTGCAATTGCTTCCTCCTGAGCGAGCGAAATCAGTAAAATTCGACAGATAATTTAATGAAAGATATTATCTTGCACCGAATGAAAATGCAACGCCTGTCTCTAACAACTTGTCTTCCGAGAATGATTATTTTCCTTTTGAACTTTTGTCCCTCTGCTCCGACCGGAGTCCAGATGGCACAATTTCATCAGGCATACCTACAAAACTCGGCTTTCGATGCGGGTTAAGTAGTGAAGAAATGAATGTTAACGACAGTGGCCGAAACATACTACATTAAAATAATAACACCAATTTTCGATTATCAAAAGCGATATACCTGAATATAAATTAACGTCTACAATATTATTATAAAATATATTTCAACGCACGTATTTCTCTGGGACTAACTAAGCCTTTCGCAGTAAAAACAAACAGCTGACATTCCCCTTTTAAAATTCAGACGCCATTGTTCTCAGTGCCATTTTTTGCGCATAAACTCTTGAAAAGGAGCAAAGCATCCAAACTACCGGAGCCGAACTAATCGACAAGGACAATCAATGGTGTCACTTTCATACGGGTTTTGTATCGCAAGCCAAGGCTTGCCTGGCAAAAGCTCGCACCGTATCGACTCTCTCCCCTCGCTTCCAATAAACCCCGCCGGCCATTTTCCTTTTCGGCGAGAGAACATCTTTAATGGCCGCCGCGCCGAGAGCATTCGCACGTCTTACGCAAAGCGCCCCACGCACGCGCCCCGCAGGCGCTGGCGGAGTTCTTTTACTTGCGCGCGACGATGAGGACAGCAGGAAAGGGGAGGAGCAGGAGGCGAAGGAAATGATCAGAAGCACAGAGGAAAAAACATCGAAGCGAAGGAGGAGGAGGAGGAGGAGGAGGAGGAGAGAAAGACGAGCTGAAGAAGGTGGAAGATGCGAAAGAACAGACGGAAAAGGAAAAGTAAGGGGAGAAGGAGTCGGGGACTGAAGTGGGCGGAGAAGAAAGCACAGGATGACGAGACCGGAAGGAAAGAAAGAAAGAAATTCGGAGAAGAGGTGAAAATGAAAATGCGGAGGAATAGGTCGACGAAGGAAAGGGGGAGCTGGCGCTGAGGAGGCCGGGAAGAAGCGGAGGCAGAGGAGCCAGTGGCGTGGCGCGATCGAGGGGGACAGGGGGCCACTGCGCTGGGCGCGTCGCCAGACCGACGCACGTCCCCGCCGCCACCGCCGCCGCCGCTGGTGCAGCACTTTCAATTTCAGTATCACGGGGTCAATACCAGAGGCTTTATGGGTCAGACGTGCATCGACTAAACAGTTATCGAGGAGAAGCGGGCAGAGGAGGCCACTCGCCAGCGGAGGGAGGAGACAGCTTTCTCCTAAAGATAAATCATGACTGTGCCTTTGCGTCACACAAACGATAAGCTCGTGCCATGGGAAAATGGTTTCACATGAACACTGTGTCAATCGTATAAAAGCACTACAGTTCGTCAGATCGTTTGCAGTGGACTAATCGTTGGAAGGAATGGTTCGCCAGGGATTACAAAGGGCCAAGGCACAAACTCCGGTCGCACTCTGGAAACCTCAAAAAACATCAAAAGGTCACGGCACCATAACGATTTGACATTTTGCGAATCATCACAGTATCGTAATCCAGTATCCTAATCGCATTTACTCACTGATATTTCCAATAATTACTTCTAAGCTGCATTTACTGAATGGGTCGAAGGCCATGGATAATTAAACAATTGTATTCTTATTAGGAAAGTTATTAAGTCATGGAATATTAGAACTCATGTCTTCTACATAATTACTCTTTCATATTACGAAACGGATTCTAGTTTAGCAAAGCTTGATATTCGTTAACCCAAGTGCAGTAGAGTGGGGATTAGTGGGCAGAAACGCGCAGCCCGCGCAGCCGGCTTCCGATGGCCCTATCGGCACCTCCTTCCGGCGCGGCGCGGCGCGGCGCGGCGCTGACGGCCGGCGATAAGCGAGGAGGCGCGTGGCGCCACCGCGGGCAGCCGCCCGGCCCCGGCACGCACTTGGGCGACCAGCTTCCAGACATATTTACATTTCAAGGTTTCCACCATAAAAAGGAAAACCCCCGAAATTATAGTCTGTGTGATTGTGTACTTCCACCTCTGCAATGAGGTCTATTCATTCACGGAACTAATCAACTAGTTTCATATGGCTCTTGCTAGATGACTCCCGGTTGTTATTATGTTCCGATTTTGAATACGACCACTTCTAAGCGAGTAACCTCTACTTTTATTCAATAATTTCTATCTTAACGATAATGCTTTAGATCTTCCATTTATCGAAATTTGCAACGATTCCTATCGCGTCCAGGACTAAAAGCTAGTTAATGTAAAATAACAAATGACAACGCAATCTTTCCTCTGAAAATAAATGTATCTGTTGACTGAGTTTCTTAACGACAGTGAAAACAGGTACAAACTTGAATCTAGTCCCACCAATATATTTAATGAAATAATAAGTTTCGGTTTCGCAACTGAAAATTGTTTTCACTGTTTCGGCCTGATGACTCAGCAAATACAAATAACATCACGTGGACGACTTTCAAAATAAATTGTTTTTTATGATTTCCATTTAAAAATTCAACTTTTAAATTTTACAATTAATATTAAAGAAATTTATATTTTAAAAAAGTCTTCCAAACTGAAAGCACAAATAAATATAAGGCGTTCAGAATTTAACCTTTAAAAACATTCAAATAGCCAGAACACACATTCTCAAATTAAAAAAAGAAAGAAAGAAACAAGAAAAAAAAAGTTACACTGAAACATGAATTAGCATAATAGCTAAGTAAAATGGACGTTGAACAACGAAAAATCATAAGCTTCATTGTACACAACATTTATGATAATTGAAAAGCAAAATCCACTATTTTACTGGTTAACTCAATTCTATTCTTTCATTCATTCATTCTCTTCAACTCTTTCTATTTGTACAGTAGCTTGTTTTCGATTTCTACATAATCTAATCTACACAGTTGGACCTGCAAGTAACGCAAAGAACAGAAGACGGGATTCAAAAGAGAAAATGTTAGGCTCCATTCATCTTCAGAATGCGTTACTGTGAACACTATTCCCTGTTTGCTTACTAAAATTAAAGGCTTGTCAGCAATGAAAGCGTACCAACACGCAGCAGAATACTGGTAACATTCCCTTTGAGTAACAGAACAGATGGAGAAGAAAAAAGGGCATCTATGTTGCACCAATGCAGCCTTGTAATCTGTAATACCGTGACACACTTTAGCAATCTTCTTCTCTTACTAACCGCTTTCATTTCCCTCCAGAAAATATCCTGTCATGTCCACCCACAATTACACAATATTAAACTGCACACAGAACGAATGTGGGAATAAACGAACAGAGATATCAAAATTTAATTTATACGACAGTAGCGATTGACTAAAGCGTCATCGAGGCAAAATATTATCAATCATTTTCTTCGATCCATAACTTCTCGTCAGTTGGTGCCCATGATCAAAGGCCAGGAAAAATT